CAGACGAGTTGGTAACGAGAGAGGCAAGGACCCGAGGAACAAGAGGGCGAGCGGCACGCAGGTAGTCAGACAGAGGGGGGGGAGCCACGACAAGGGAGGACGGAGGGGGCGACGGGAGAAGGGGAGGACGAGACGCGTGAGAACGAAGCAACATAGGGTGAGAGCGCGAGAGAGGGGAGACAGGTCGAGCACGGGAGGGACGGCGAGACCAGACATGAGACGGGGGAGTCCGGTCAGGAGACAGAGGAGGGGACACAAGAGGGGAACGAGGGGGGAAACGGGCCGGAGACGAGTCCGGAGGAGGGAACACAGGTAGACAGGAGGAGGAGGAGGCACAGGCACGGGTCAGGGGACGGAATGCCGAGCAGGCGAAGGGCGGACACCGGCGGGGACTGCTGCGGCGGCGGTGTGACACCGACACCAGGACCGCAAGCTGCCTGGCGGCTAACTCCAGAACACTCCACGCCAGCACCCCCAGAAGGAACACCCCCAGAGCTCATAACCCCTCAAGCACCGGTACCACCCCCAGGCCCGCCATGACAAGCCACGACAAGAGTCGCAGGATTAGTACCCACCGCAACTCCAGCACCCCCAGAGGCAACGAATTGCTGCGGCAACGGCTGCGGCAGCGGCGGCTGCAACGACGGCTGCGGCGGCGGCGGCGGCGGTGACGACGGCTGCGACAGCGGTGGCGATGGCGGCTGCGGAGGCGGCGGAGGAGGAGACACCTGAGAAGGGGCAGGCGGCAAGGACTGTGCCGCAGGACCACCAGAGTCAGCAGACTCCTCAACCGGGACAACCGACGTAGGTGGGATGACGTGGGACACACCAGAGGGGTAGGACGGGGAGGGGGAGGAGGAGGGATGGCGACGACCGGGGAAGGGGTGACCAGGAATAGGGGGGGGTAACCGGGGGACCTCGGTGGGGGAAGCGGCGGAAGAAGGAGACGGACTCGTCAAAGGTGACGTCACAGGAATGAAAGAACCGTTGAGACGGCGGGTGGTAGAAGTGCCAGTCAGACGCATCAAGGGGGAAGCTTAGGAAGACACAGGGAAGGGTGTGGGCAGTGAGCTTGTCCGTGCCAGAGGCACGAACGTGAGCAAGGCAGCCCCACACGTTGAACGCAGATGCGTCACCAGGTGACCCAGACCAGAGGAGGGTCGGCGAAACCGGAGGCTGCTGGGGGTGTGGCCACAGGTTAAGCTGGTGAGCGGCGTAGCGAACGGCGAACGGCCACAGAAAATGGGGTGCACCGGCATGGATCATGGAGGTGCGAGCCACCTCCATGACCAAACCGATGCGTCGCTCAGCGACCCCATTCTGCTGCGGGGAGTCCGGCAAGGTGAACGTCTGGGTGATGCCCTCCGCACGACAGAAACGACCAAGGATACCAGAGGCAAACTCGCCACCACGATCGAAGTGGAGACGCAAGACAGGGAGACCACGGTGGACACGCGCAGAGACAAGCCACGGGATAAGAACGACAGGCACGTCGGCCTTCCGCTCCAAGGGGAATACAGTGGTGTAGCGCGTGTAGTCATCGACAAGCACTAGGAAGTAGCGCTCTCGAGGCGGCCCATGGACGAAGACGGGGCCCCAGACGTCCATGTGCAGAGTCTGTAGTGGTGCTGCAGTAGGGGGAAACGAGGAGGAGTGAGGGGCACGGTGGAGCCGGCCCTCAACACAGGGCGTGCAAGGTGGGGTTGGGGAGGAGGGAAACTCGGGGAACGACCCGGGGAGGCCTAGGACGTGACTGTGCTATGACATGTGATGCAGACGCGGGAGCGCAGGGTGACCTAGGCGGTGGTGCCAGAGAAGAGTCGGGTGAGTGAGAGACCGACAGGAGCAGGCAGCAGCAACCGGGGGAGACGCAGTCACCTGAGGGGGGGTCCCAGCCGGGGGGGTCACCGTGTCCTGTGTGAAAAGACCGGACGCCGGGTCCCGTGGGAACGTGGACAGGGGGGCACCAGTGGCGGCCTCGGTACAGACTGCGTACCGCTCGTGTCCAGGGAACGTAGTGGTGACGCCAAGGTCCTGAAGGCAGCCGACACCAACTAGGTTCCTGGAGAACGAGGGGATGTGTAGTCTGTGAGCGAGCCCCAAGGAACCGCGGGGCAGGGGAGGGTGGTGGAATTGCGGGCAACTACTGGGCCGGAGGAGGGGTCAGCAAGAGAGACTGCGGCAGGGACAGGAAGCGGTGTCAACGTGGTGGAGTCGCGGAAGACGCACCGGGAAGCGCCAGAGTCGAGGGTGAAGAGAGCGCGGCAGTGGCGGCCGGAGGCGAAGCAGCGACGGAAGCACCAAGGCTAAACAAAGTAGGGGATCCTACGGCTGACGCAGCAGGGGAGTCTAAGTAAGGCACACCTACACTAGGCAGCAAGGGATAATAAGACGGAAGCACACTAGAGTCATCAGCATACATCACATGCAGAGCAGTAACAATCTCATCCATATCCAGATCAAAAATCTGAACCCTACGATCAAGCAAACTGTGCCAGTCTGGGAGCTCGGGCGACGGGCCGAAACGCTGACGAAACAGGTCGTCCAGATGATAGAAACAGCGGACGGAGGTGTGACCGATCTTACCGCAAATGAAGCCACGGCGAGGTCCGGTCTGGAGCAGGTACTGACAGCGCGCGTCACCCGAACCACCACCCGGCAGCCCACAACGCGCACCACCACCACGTCCAGCGCTACCACCAGCGCCAGGCCACCCGGGCGGGAGACCACTCGCCCGTCTCTGCTGCGGCTGCGACTGCCGCGGTTGCCTTGACTGCTGCGGCTGCTGCGGTTGCTGCGGCTGACGCGAGTCTGGCTGCAACGCCGGCGGCTGCTGAGACGGCTGCTCGGCTGCACCTGGCCGGGTCTCCTTGTCCGCACCACCACCAGGAGACCCAGCTCCAGCACCACGTACACCTGCACCCCCACCCCCGCCGCCACGCCCAGCCTTGGGGCGGCGACCCTTCCCCGGACGGACCTGTGCTGTAGCGGCTGTCTCAGCCACAGCAACAGAACCGTTAGAGAAGGTGCACTGAGCGGGGGCGCAACCCTGAAAGATAGGGACCGGCACAGTACCGCTGGTCTGAGCGATAGAGCAGTGGCGGGCCTCTATAGCGGACAGGGTGTCAACAAAGTCAATGAGGGTGAGGTCTGCGGGGTGGACGCTAAGGAAGTGGTCACGGGCAGTGGCAAGACAATCAGGGAGGCTAGTGGCTAGCAGGTAGGGAGTGGAGGCGAGGGGCGGCTGGTGGGCTAGAAGCTCTGTGGGAGTGCAGGCAGCACGCCAGGTCTCGTCTATTGTGCGCAGGTGAGCGGCCAGGTCGGCGACAGTGGGGAACGACGCAAGGTCAGGGAAGAGCATGGGGAGGATCAGACGACCGACCGAGGCAGCAGGTGGGGTGGAATAGCGCTGGACAACAGCATCTAGGAAAGCCTGGGCAGTGGTGATAGACCTCAAGCGAGGTCGCTCGGACAGGGAGAGGGCATTGCTAATGGCAAGCTGTGTGACAGCGTCATGGGACAGCCAGACAGAGCGAGCAAGGGCAGCGGCCGCAGCGGACTCACGCTCAGCGGACGAGGGATCAGTAGACAGTGCAGCGGGGGGGTCAGGGCAGGGGAGAGTACCGTCAAGATGGACAGACAGAGAGTGGCCATCCTGCCGCTGACCAGTGAGGTGGCGACGGAGGTCAGCAAGCCACGCATCAAACTCAATCGGCTGGCCCTCAGCGTCAAAGCGAAGCACCTCTGGCATCAGTGACAATAGAGGGCAGTGGAGAGCAGTACAGTGCGGTGCAGTGCGGTACAGTGCGGTGCAGTAGGGTGCAGTGCGGTACAGTGCGGTGCAAGGCGGTCTAGTACGGTACCGGGGGGGTTCGCAGGGCAGTGCTGATCGGGAGGAACGGGCCGAACCCGAGGCGGTGGCGGGCTGGCGACGACGCGGATGCAGGAGCCGGCCGGCGGACGGCAGACGCGAGGGGCCAGCAAACGGCGGCAACGAGGGCCGGCGAGGAGCTGGCGCGACGGCGAGTAGGGCCAGCCACGACGGCGAGGAGACACGGCCACGACGGCGGCCAAGGACAGCCGCGACGCGGCTAGGGGCGGCCGCGATGGCAGGAGTGACCGTGAGGCGGCTGGAGACGGCAGCGACAACGTCTAGGGGCGGCCGCGACGGCGAGGGGGCGGCCGTGAGATGGCTAGGGGCGGCCGTGGGACGGCAGGAAACGGGCGCGACGGCCAGGGGGGGGGAGGGGGGGGGGGGGGGGGGGGGGCTAGGGACGAGCGCGACGGCCAGGGGGCCGGCTAGGGACGGGCGCGATGGCCAAGGGGGCCGACTAGGGGCGGACGCGACGGCCAGGGGGCCGGCTAGGGGCGGACGCGACGTCCAGGGGGCCGGCTAGGACGAGCGCGACGGCCAGGGGGCCGGCTAGGGACGAGCGCGACGACCAGGGGGCCGTCTCGGGACGTGCGCGACGGCCAGGGGACCGGCTAGGGACGGGCGCGACGGCCAGGGGGCCGGCTAGGGACGGGCGCGACGGCCAGGGGGCCGGCTAGGGACGGGCGCGACGGCCAGGGGGCCGGCTAGGGACGGAGGCGACGGCCAGGGGGCCGGCTAGGGTCGGTCGCGACTGCCAGGGGGCCGGCTAGGGGCGGACGCGATGACCAGGGGGGCCGGCTAGGGGCGGACTTGACGGCCAGGGGGGCGGCTAGGGACGGAGGCGACGGCCAGGGGGCCAGCTAGGGACGGGCGCGACGGCCAGGGGGCCGGCTAGGGGCGGACGTGACGGCGAGGGGGCCGGCTAGGGGCGGACGCGACGGCCAGGGGGCCGGCTAGGGGCGGACGCGACGGCCAGGGGGCCGGCTTGGGACGAGCGCGACGGCCAGGAGGGCCGGCTAGGAGCGGGGCACGACGGTGGCTAGGGCCTAGGGGGCGGAAGCGTGGGCGGGCTAGGGGGGAACCTAACCTACTATGATACCATATCAGAAAGAATAATTGAACTAGAATGTGTGAGTACAAGGATATATAGACTAGGGTGTTGTACCCTCTAAGGCACAATCCAGTCTAGTCTACAATAACGACCTAAGTTACATTCGACACTATTAACTCAGTGGTTAGTGGCCGAGTTTCTGACACTACGCACTGCCAGAAGAGCTACCCGATACACCCATGTTCTTCACTCGCGCAATCTCAGCATCAAAGTCCGGTTGAAACGAGATCTCTATTTCCTTGTCAATGCGAGATGCGATCCTGTTTGCCTGTGCTCCAAAAACCTTCTCCCTCGTCTTCACCAGATCTACCAGCACTTGGCTCATGGGAGGGCGGGAGGCAGTGGGCATGGCAGTGCAGGAGAGGGCAAGGCGGGCCAAGTGCAGCACGAGATCATCTGGTGCATCCAAACAAGGGTCCTTGAATGCAGACACTGCTTTGGATTCAACCAGTGGAGCTACCTGCATGGTTGGAAGGACATGGCACATGGAGGATCTGATAAAGTGGCTTCAAAACAACAAATTTGAAGAGGTAATGCAGTATGGCATAGTGTAACCACCACAACAGTTTTGATCAATCATGTTTATGTTTCAACAGCATCCCTCACCTACAACCAATTCTGTTAAGTCTGTTGCCATTTTGCACCACATTGATTGCTATTTGCGTCTCACCCATTTGCTGAGGTTGGTGTGGGTGTCGTCTGTTACATGAACCGCCTTGCGTGCTGTGATAACCACCAGCATCACCACTCCGAAACTGCAAATTGAAGCAACGAAGTGAGCATGTCATGTGTTCAAATTACCCGCTAGGTTATTCTAGGTCTCCAGTCTCAGCACTGTATAATAGGGAAATTGCTGATTTGAATGAGTAAGTCACCTAAGGCACAAAGACTATAAAAGCATCTGCTGCATAGTTCTTATGTATGAATGCGGATTGCTGGAGTGAAAACTCCATGCCACTCTTCTCACCTGTAGACATCTGCGGCTGGAGTGGCCTTGTGCGATTCACAGGCTGGATCCACATAGCCCGGTGTTCCCATCACCCAAGTGGCAGCCACAGTGCTTCCCAAAGAGGTGCCTGCACTCGGCTTCACAAGACCAAAGTCGGCGATCTTGACCTGCACACCAGTCACAAGAGCACCATCTTAAGAAATGAGTGTGTGGCCGACTCATGGCTGGTTGGTTCCAAGATATGACCACACGATAAGAGTAAGTGGATAGACAATGGTAGGAGAGGCATCTTCTGCTATGCCTGCATGTGCAAAAGGGTTACACAATATTGGTGTGAATTGTTAACATGCCTGCATCTTTGAATCGAGGAGGATGTTGGCTGGCTTCAAGTCACGATGCACAATGCCGAACTCATGCAGGTACTGCAGCCCCTTTGCCACTCCAATCAGCACGTCCAGCCGCTGCTGCAGAGAAAGAGGATTGGCAACACCGGGCTCAATCCAGCTCTCAAGATCATTGTTCTGCATGAGCTCATACACTAGAATCTGCTCCATCTCTCGTGTTGCTGGGTTGAAGTCAATACAGTACCCCAGAAGCCGCACAAGATGCGGATGGTGCTTGCTTGCCATCTCTTTCACCTGCAGGAAGAATGGTTGTGACAAGATGGAAAGGCAGTTTGCTCACTGTCTAACCAAGTCCCCTTTAGTGGGAAGAAAATGTAACAATCGAACAACGAGATACCTCTGTTTGGAAGTCATTGGTGAGTACTCGAGCTCGTTTGACTGCCCACACTTGATTGCTATCATAGGGAGACACCCCTTTGTACACATCACCAAAGCTGCCACTGCCAATCTTGTTTCTCTCTGCCCACTCTTCTGGAGCACATTCCAGGTCAGCCAAGCAATATTCCCGACACACATCTGGCCGTGCTGCCTCTCGATCCACCAAGGCACCATCATCCTGTCTGCCTCGTGCTACTGTTGTAGCTGCTGCTGCAGCTGCTACTGCCGCCCATACAGCATTGGGATCCTGCTTCTCCAGGTGTGCTTCTGCAGAATGTGGGTGAGAGAGGGTGTGCGAGAGAGTGAAGCATAATAAGGGAGTGCAAGAGTGAGAACCTGAGCTGTGCTCAATCCCCCTCTCCGCTCCGCTTTTGGTTCATTTATTAGCTGTGAATTCAGCGCTCGCATTTGGGGAGGGGATGTTTGTGAACGACAATGGAGGTGGGGATACAACGGCCATCCAAGGTGGCTCGTTTATCAAGTCAAGGTGCACCATTTAAAGACGTTATGCCATACTACGAATGCCATGCCTTCGCCCTCAAAACTACAGTCATTGCCCTCTTTGTTGCTGGGGCAGGAACCACTACTCCTCTCATCCATCCTAGAGCCAATGATTGGTTTTCGGGCTGGTTCCACGGAGCTCCATCAATACTGATAACATGCACCACGTCTTAAAGCACACCAGACCTACCTCAAAGGGCCCTGAGGGGTTTTCCCTGCTAGAACATGCCTTACCTTAACTGCATGCCTTGACACTCTTTGATAGAGTGGAACATTCACGGAAGAGAGATAGGCAGGGGTAGTAAGCGTAGAGGATGCATGCAGTGGGGAGCACTGGGCCGTGTGCATCACAATGGACTTGCCTTGGAGCGCACTTGCTGCTGCCAAGTCCTCGCCATCCACATTCATTCCAGCATCGCCCCGCGATGCCATCGCCTTGGTGCGGCGCCTCTTGAACCCCATCAGTCCTAGCAACAGCAGCACAAGGATAGCCACACCAGCAGCAGCAGCAGCAATGCCTGCTATGGCGCCAACTGAAAGGCTACGTCCAGACTGGGAGGCGGAGGCTGCGGGTTGAGGCTGGGGGCCTGCAGGTGGGGAAAGGGGCGTTGGAAATGGTATGGCTTGAATGGAGAGGAGTCACATCTTAGAGGATTCGGGTTGTGGCAGAGCGGGGGGAGAGGAGCAGGAAGGATTAACATGAAAGGGCGATTTTTTTAGAAGGGATGGCCATGAAAAGGAGGGAGGGTAGAATTCTGTTGAGATGCAGGGAAGTGCAGGAGGTTGGGTAGAGAAGGGGCAAGGGGGAGGGGGGGGAAGCCAGCCGGCTGGCATCAACTTATGCCCTTCCACTCCTACTCAAGTCCTCGCCATCATACAGGCGCGCTCGGAGAAACTCAATGCACGTCCCTGCACCATCATGTGGAGCAGTATCACGAGTGCTGAAGGGACATGTGCGGCTCATGGCACACCCAGCAGCTCAAATTCTAGGACCCGCTCGTGAGAAACAACTTAAGGGAAATATCTGAGGGAGAGAGGCAATGGAGGTGCTGGCTCACTTTGGGAGGGAGAGGGTGGAGCAGACGAGGGTGGAGCAGACGAGGGTGGAGCAGACGAGGGTGGAGCAGACGAGGGTGGAACAGACGAGGGTGGAACAGACGAGGGTGGAGCAGACGAGGGTGGAGCAGAGGGTGATATCGAGGGTGGCGCCATGTCACATGTGTTGCAGAAGTCAGGGCACTCCTGGCAGAAAGCAGTTTTATTGTCCTGTGGGACCACACAGCTGCTATTGTCTGGTGGGCATGTGATTTTATTTCCAGATATATCCCTGCATGGCACCGGGAGTGATTCTAAAAATTGTTCAAAGAAACGAATTGGGATTTCCTCATAAAAGTCCCATTGCACGATGATCTATGCATCTTAGGATTGCCTTTGCATGGGACTAGTGTGTCAGAGAGTTGTGAGTGATCAATTTGTGAGAACGGATTGGCTTACAAGTTTAAAAGACGGGTAAGGCTGCCGATTGTTGGAGGGAGACGGCCGGTGAGATTGTTTTGGCTGACATCCCTACAATGCAAACACGCACAAACACGCCGACATGGGCATAACACCAATGCGTGCACGGGCATAACACCAACGCGTGCACGGGCATAACACCAACGCGCGCACGGGCATAACACCAATGCGTGCACGGGCATAACACCAACGCGCGCACGGGCATAACACCAACGCGTGCACGGGCATAACACCAACGCGTGCACGGGCATAACACCAACGCGTGCACGGGCATAACACCAACGCGTGCACGGGCATAACACCAACGCGTGCACGGGCATAACACCAATGCGTGCACTGGCATAACACCACTGCGTGCACGGGCATAACACCAGTGCGTGCACGGGCATGCACTGAAGGACGCATTGTAAAAATCGGTCAGCTTCATAAACACTTTCCCGCATAGCGCCTGGGTGGGGTTTCTCTTATTTTGCCTTCATGGAATCTACAAAATAATTATATTAATGCAGGTTTCCGTGGTTTTCTTGTTTGAAGATATCAACGAGCTTGCTGATGGAGCTTTGCGCAAAGGATCATTCGTTCTTTGTTACTTTAATTCTCATGTCGAGGTTTTTTCTTTTAAAAAAGAAATCCGTCGATAGATTAATCACCTCGAGTTTTATAACTATGTAGCATAGAAAATGAGAAAGGTCATTTGACGATTAATATTACCAACCTTTTCTTTTTACTACTCATATTTTTGCACAAAGGCTAACAAGCAGGCAGCAGTGCCATTCAAGCCAAACATGGAATTTCATTTTCATTCCCATTCCCATGACACTGACAGCTGAGTGAGGCTGATCAAGCTGCTGATGGTAGATGGAATAGATCCAGTCAAGCCATTATAGCCCAGATACCTGATGGCGCATGCAAAGAGTTCCATGGGGTAAGAAGAGGGGGAATGGGAGGAGGAGGGGGGGAGGAGGGCAAGACATGGTGGCGTTTTTAGTGAAGCTAGCAGTGGAACGCACACGAAGCATGTACTAACTCTCCACCCAATCAGAAATACCCTTCTGCTTCTTAAAAAAACACACAACAGTTTTATTCAAGCCACACATCAAAGTTCAGTTGTCTTCCCATGGTACTAACAGGTAAGTGAGGCTGCTCATGTTGCCAATGGTAGCTGGAATAGACCCAGTCAAGGCATTACGTCCCAGACTCCTGGAGGTGGATACAAACAAGGGTTCCTTGGTTTGGATTGATTGAAGGAGGAAGGGGACGGTTGAATCAAAGGGGAGATGCAAAGCGCATCACGTAGTGATGCATTCTTTGTGACAACAGCAGCACATCCCATTGGATGCATTTAGGTGTATCGTCGTAACACAATAATATTCGTCTACTTTGGTGATAACAAGAACTGATAAAACGAATCGGTAATGCAACATGGTAACAGGGAAAGGTCACAACATTCGCAACAACTGGTCACAAGTAGTGTAGTTAAAACAAAACAAAAATGCACTCCTCACAAGTAGCACAATTTGTGAAGTTTGGTAATGCCTGCAGGTATCGAGCCAGTAAGGTTGTTCTTGTAGAGATCTCTGGGCGACCATCCAAAGGGAAGACGAGATAGTAAGGATGAGTGAAAACAAGAAAGCATTACTCAATCCGGTTAATGAGTGGGTTCTTCAAAGCAATTCAACCTCAGTGCCAAACGTATATGCATTGCAAGGTGAAAAAAAACGGTCGTTTTTTTTTTTTTTTTTTTTTTTTTTTACCGTATAACATGGAATCGTTTTATTCGGCTGTTTAAAACGGTCCTGAGGTGCGTTTCTGGGTTGGTGCAAAAAACATTATCGTATAATACGGTCGTTTTTTTTTAAACCAGCCAAAACCTGGGGAAAAAAAATCGTAATTAAATTGTAATCACTTTCAGATGCACCGTGGTACTTCATTTGTGAGTGTTGTTAATGTTTTGAGACGGTGGTGAGGGTGATAGTGGGGAGGAAGACGTGGCAGAGGAGGAGGAGGACAAAGATTCAACACACGTACCTGTAGAACTGTTTGTTAGCCCCCTTAGCCCTGAGTATACCATCGTAGCCACCATGCAACCTGTTTCCGCAGGTTTTTTTTTTTTTTTTTTTTTTTGTGCTAAAAATTGTCTATTAATAAAATGGTTGTATATGATTATTTTTGCCATATAAAACGGACCGTATAATACAAAAACCGTATTTTTCCACCTTGATGCATTGTGACTAGACATGAGCATAATGCGATGTAATAAAGTGGCGCATTTCCCTTCATCGCCGAAAATAAGATGCGGTATAATAATATCGCATCGCGTGATATGATTTTGTGCAAACAGGTTATCGCTTATCACATAGTATATAATGCAATGCGATATAATATCGCATCGCATTTTTTTTTATGAATAACAGGGGGGTTTTGGAGCTGTAAAAAAGGGCTCTGCAGGCGCCATGGTGGCCATGGGGAACGGGAATCTGGGTTGATGTGGCTTGATTTGATGGGTTGGCTTGACTTGATGGTTTGATGGCTGCCTTGGCGTTCCTTGATGGCTTGATGACAACGAGCAAGACGCGGAAAGCCACATAAACCCTAGAAAATAGAACCCTTCAATTTCTGCGCGTACGTCTTATTGCGTATAAACGCTCTCGTACAAAACGCGATACGCGTGTATTCCAACTTAGCTCAGAACATGCACACATACTTCTAGTCTACTACTACATCAGAAGTCCTATCGAGAGAGCCCCTTCAGGTGTTTCCGTACATGCATGGTTATATTATACCAGGTCAACTGTTACTCACAGGTCAGTCAGGCTGGCCATGCTGCCAATGGTAGATGAAATGGATCCGGTTAAGCCCCGGCTATCTAGATCTCTGCCAGGGTGTGGTGTGTGGAAGCAGAAACGAAGGAGAGAGAGGCGAGAGCGGGAAAGGAAAGGGAGTCACAACAAAGAGGCATGGCATCCACAGCCCACAAATCTTCCGTCTAGGCGATGAGAGAAGATGCATTGTTGCATGCACATCCACGTGAGTGCAACGATTCTCAAGATTGCATGATGCACTGTGCACTGTGCTGTGCGCTGCACTGCATTGCTGGGGTCCGAGCTGGGCTGTACAAGACACAAGAATAAGCCAAAAAACATGGTCGTTGGTGAGCAGCTGTTGCCGTCTAGCCTGTGCTTGAGTCCTTTTAGGAGAGCTAAGCAAAGGAAAAGGGGGATGATGGGGGGAGAGAAAGGGTGCGCGTGTAGAGGGGGGAAGTGAGAGAGATGTAAGGGAGAGGGGGCAGAGAAGAGCTCATAATAGCTGAAATGGGGGGGAGAAAAGATCACGGAGAGCCATCCAAGGAATGCGTGGCCAGCAAGGGTGGGTGGACTCACATGCTGGTGACCATGCCCTGTGCATCGCACTTCACATGCGCGGCACTGCTGCACCTCCCCCCAGCCACCCACCCAGCGAAAGTCTGGCCCCACGCCTGCTGGAAGTCCAGCAGGAGTTGCACTGGAGGCAGAGGGAAGGCGGAGAGGCGCGGAGGGAAGGGGTGGGAGGGGGGAGCAGGAGGGAGAAGCTGAAAAGGGATGGAGGGGCACAAGAAATGATACCTAGATTACGCAGATTATGCTAGACAGTAAGCATAGTAGTTAGTATTGGTTAGAGTCGGACTCCTTCTTGTCACCCTGGAAGAATCAGTATTTTGCGTTCGCAGTCTGGTGACTTTCGTCTAGAGAGCCGGACTTCGCCTTGACAACAACTCACTCTGGGAGGCGGCGTCGGGCGCACAGCGGACGGGGGAAATTGAGGAGAGACACGTCAGCACGAACAGCGCGCCTGGCCAAATGCTTCCTGCGCCGTCCGCGCCCATGTCGATGGGGCGGCCCATGGCGAGCGCGCTTCCACAGGAGCTGTTTACGCCATCAAAATTCGGGATCCCAGAACTGTCCCGAATGTAACTTTCGGGACAGATTCAAGTCTCCTCCGGAATGTAGTAGTACTAGCAGAACAAATGAGCCAGTGACGACTGGTTGCGAAAAGTACGAGGCGTAAGTTTGAAAACTAAGATGGATGTTTACGTAAAACGAACATTTCCGGCCTCTGACTCCAGGTGCGCAGGCAATGAGGCGACGAGAGACGCGAGGAGCTGAGGAATCTAGGGTTTCGACACGAGTTGGAGTGTGGCGAGCACGATCGTAGGGACCCTCCGCTCCCATAGTCCGATCGTTTTCTTCCGTGCCTCTCAACATTTGTTTTGAAACGAACAAAATCACAGTGTAAGGAAATCCCTTACTCGGCTCAACTACAGCGCGTACGCCCTCGACTCTCAGAAGTCCAGGCTCGGCCAACTTATTCGGTCCCAAACAACTTTGCGAAACCAAACCTAGACCCGTGACGCTTCCGTAGCTTTCGCCAAACGGACCGCCCCAACCTGTTCGCATGGTTCTTGGCTAGCCTTGTTCGTGCCTATAAATACATAGGCCCTCATTTGTATCTACACTCTAGAATCACGACTCCTTTATTACAGCACCTATTATTACTTTGACTAATTCATAACTGTTGGTATCAGAGCTCCGTTCCTGCCCGCTTAGTCTTCCGTAGAGTAGCCCGTTTATATCGGGAGAGGACCCGACAGAATAGGGGGTTGGCCAGCGGTTGGTAGGTGAGCTTGTTAAAGTTCCTCCAACTAGAAACGTGTGCACCCTCGGATCTGTCAGGTAAAATTTCCAGCATGCCTACCATGCCGGAAACCTCTGCCCGCCGTAGTGTTAGAAACGTGACTCAGGAAGATTTTGACGAGCTGCAAGCTAGGGCGGCTACAGTGACGACACTGCAGGCCCAGCTTCATCAACTCGCTGAGAAGTTCGAGACACTGGGAAGCGAAGTGCAGACGTTGCGCAACGAAAACTCGTCGCTTCGCCAGGCACGGGGTGAAACGCGTCAGGGGCGGCCTGTTACCCGAGACGAAGATGCTGCGAGAGAAGCGAGGGCGTCGGCGACACCTGAAGCAGTTGAAGAAATCCACAGCGAGCTGCGGGCGGCCATTAAAGTCAAACCACCCATGTTGCCGCCGTTCAACCCGATCGAAAAGTCCACTACAATAAGCGGTTGGTCGTTCGCCATGGATATCTTCCAGCATTAATTACAATGCTTCATGAGTCAACTTGGCTGTGTCACTGCTGAGGGGACCGGTACTCGACTAGTGGCACATGCATCTGGATGAGAGAGGAGCACCGGCAGGGAATCAACTGGCGGTAGATGGGGAGCACGGTTCATCAACGGCACAGGCAGAACCGATCTTTGGGTCAGCCACAATCCGCATGTAGAAAGCATAGGGCGGAGCATTGAAGAGCCGCTTCGAGCACATATCCATGCGCGAAAAAGCCCGCACTAGGCTTCGAATGTCGAGATAGTTGGGCTCTGTCCAAGAGTACACGGCTTCGTTCCTGGCGCTATGCGATCAAATCGGCGGGCTCAGCGACGACAAGAAAATCTATCACTACGTGGGTGATATTAAGCCAGAGATTCAGCCGGTCGCCCTCGCTTAGTGACAGAGAGAGTTCGTCGCGGCATAGTTCGGTCGATTACCAGTGAGGAGGCAGAAATCTCCGCTCACGTGGCGAAAATCGTTGAGAAGCAGCACGGCATCACACTGCATCCTAAGACATTGCGTAACGGTTTGAATGGAGCGGACTTGTCGCAATCAAGCATCCCAAGAAGCCGCGACTCTCTCGAAAAAACATACGCGATAGGCTGGAATGGGCGCGTGCCCACGCACACTGGACGGTTGACGACTAGAAGCGAGTGATCTGTTCGGATGAGACCAAGATCGGTCGTCTTGCATCCGACGGACTCTCATACGCCTGCGTTCATGAAGGGAGTGCCCTCCAAAGACACCAAATCAAGCAGACCGTCAAACACAGGGGCGGTTGCTTGATGATTTATGACTGCATGTCGTAAAAGGGAGCGAGTTTCATGAGCAAAACATATGGTAGGATGGACGGACTACTCTCGCTGAGTATACTGCAGGACGATCTCAACTGTACGATTGAGCTTTACCAGCTTACACCCTCGGAAACTATCTTCCAGCACGACAACGACCCGAAGCACAAGTCGCGTATCGTACAGGATTGGCTTAGAGAGCAAGATTTTGGGGTGCTAGAGTGGCCGTCTTCCTCACCCGACCTCAACCCAATGAAGCATTTATGGGCTCATCTCAAGAGGCAGCTGGCCAAGCCTTATAAGCCTCCCACTGGTATGCTGGACCTTTGGGAGCGGGTGCAGGAGGAATGGGCAAAGATCCCGGCGGATGTGTGCACCCACCTGGTGGAAAGCATGCCCAGGAGGGTGAGGGCGGTGATTAAGGCGAAAGGGCGGTGGATTAGGTACTAGTTTGGGGTTGATGTAACTTGCTGCTTGCGCCTGACAATAATTGTCCACATGTACCAAGATTGTTATTTTCTGGTATTTGTTGTAAACATCATTATACTTGTGTGATGTAAGGCATGGGCGTAGAGCCTTGCCCCAACCTACATACACTAGGCACACCAGAACATTAAGGCTTAATGTCCATGACCCCCTAAAATGGCAAAATTCCTCTAAGTCACAAACATGTGGACAATACTTTCCGTCAATGTACGTCCGCCGTTTCATTCCGAACATGGCGCGGATAACTTCCCTTCACACGGATCTCCTGAAGAAGGGCACATTTTTTTAGTGGGGGGGAGAGCAGCAGGCTGCGTTCGAAAAGCTCAAACTTTTCCTAAATACATCTCCGGTTCTTCGGATTGCGGATCCTCACCGCCCGTTTGAGCTTATCACCGACGCTAGCAATCTGGCCGTTGGCGCGGTCCTGTTACAAGACTTCGGCGAAGGCCTACAACCCATCACCTACGAGTCACGAAAGCTGAACCAGGCCGAGCGAAATTATCGTGTCCACGTCAAGGAGTTACTCGCCATCGTTCACGCTTTCAAGGTTTGGCGCTGCTACCTGGCGGAATTGTCACCCTGGGCAATTCGCAGAAGGGTTGTCCGCTACCGAAGTATCGCGCAGAAGACATTTCTGCATGCGATCCTTTCGGGAGAGTCGACTCTAGGAAATGTTTTCCAATAGGACCTCGGGCGGACTGGGGAAAGGCCCTATTCGTATAGAATTGCTTTCTGCCGAAGTTCGGCAGAGAGGCAATTCGGCTATCTCTTTTGCAGTCGACCCCCTCGGCAGAGACGAAATGCGGCAGAGAGTCATCTCGGACTTAACTTCTGCAAAAGACCCCTTTTGCAAAACTGACTTAGTTTTTCTAAAGGTGGAGTTCCGAAATCGCGAGAAATTCGCGCTTTCATAAGTTAATTATATAACCGATCTGGACCGAAAACGACAAAATCTACCTGCGACATTGAGAAATTGAACACATGATGCACATTTTGTAACTGCGGAAATATGCGTAACATGTGACAGTTTCACACCTGCAACTGTTAGAATAACTACTTCTGGGTGGGTAAAAAATACCAACTAAGCATGTGCTGTAATTTTCATTCGCCATTGCTGACTTGGCTAAGCACAGCTTAGAATAGTTACGTAAACGCTCTCGTGCGAACATTCTTTGTGTTCAATGAGGTTCAATGAGATGGTATTAGTGTTTGCCTTGTGTACCATACAGTGGCGGAAAGTATTGTCCACATGTTTGTGACTAAGAGGAATTCTGCCATTTTAGAGGGTCATGGACATTAAGCCTTAATCTTTTGGTGTGCCTAGTGTATGTAGGTTGGGGTAAGGCTCTACACCCATGCCTTACATCTCACAAAGATATTGATGTTTACAACAAATAACAGAAATAAGCAATCATGGTAGATGCGGGCAATTATTCCCAAGCACAAGCAGCAAGTTACATCAACCCCAAACTCGTACCTAGTCCACCGCCCTTTCGCCTTAATCACCGCCCTCACCCTCCTGGGCATGCTTTCCACCAGGTGGGTGCACACATCCACCAGGATCTTCTCCCATTCCTCCTGCACATGCTCCCAGAGGTCCAGCATACCAGTGGGAGGCTTCTCGTGCTTGGCCAACTGCCTCTTGACATGAGCCCATAAATGCTCTATTGGGTTGAGGTCGGGTGAGGAAGACGGCCAGTCTAGCACCCCAAACTCTTGCTCTCTAAGCCACTCTTGCACGATACGCGACTGTGCTTCGGGTCATTGTCGTGCTGGAAGATAGTTTCCGAGGGTGAAAGCTGGTAAAACTCAATCGTACTATTGAGCTCGTCCTGCAGTATACTCAAATAGAGCAAACCGCCCATCCTACCATCTATTTTGCACATGAAACCCGTGCCATCATACGACATGCACCCCCAAATCATCAAGCAGCCGCCCCCGTGTTTGACTGTCTGCTTGATTTGGTGGCTTTGGAGGGCAGCACCTTTGCGAACCTAGGCATAGGAGCGTCCGCCGGAAGCAAACCGATTGATCTTGGTCTCATCCGACCAGATCCCCCGCTTCCAGTCGTCAACCGCCCAGTCGGCGTAGGCACGGGCCCATTCTAGCCTATCGCGTATGCTTTTTCGAGAGAGTCGCGGCTTCGTGGGCTGCTGGATGGCGACAAGTCCGCTGCTACTCAAAGCATTACGCACCGTCCTAGGATGCACCGTGATGCCGTGCTGCATCTCGACAATCTTCGCCGCGTGAGCGGAGGTTTTGGCCTCCTCGATAGTAATCGACCGAACTATGCCGTAGCGAATTCTCTCTGTCACTAAGCGAGGGCGATTGGCTGAGGGCATCGTAGGATGCATGGCATCATGGCTAGACTCTTTTTTCGCCTTAAGTCCATAATCGTGGACCATGCTCTTGCCCACGCCTAGCTGTTTAGCGATTCGACGAGTGCTATACCCCCTCCGCAACAGGGTAATGATCCGTGCGTGGCGCGCCTCATCTATCGGTTTCATGACAGCCTAATCGTCGCAGCGGTCCTAGCCTATCTCCCGACTACTCCATAATCGCAAGGGCTAGTAAGTAGAAAAAGCAAGGTTAGGAAATAGATCTAGTATGCTGCTTGGCATGAACACCCACGCGAACGAAATCTCGTCCTCGGTAAAAAATCGACCCATATAAAACTGAACCAAGCATCCGTCACATACGCTACAGTACTACTTTACAGCCAATGCCGAAAATTGATTCGTAACTAAACAAAAAAGGCACCAAACCGGTACAAAAATGTTTTAAGGTAATTATCCGGGCAATA